ATTAGCGTCAGTCAGTCAGTCACGATCGTCTATATATATTAGAAAAACATAATTTTTTATTTACTTAGCTTTCTATTAAGTACTTCTTTGCCAAGTTTAATCTTTGATGCAACCTCTGTTTTCCTAGATCAGAAAATTCCTGAAATTCGTGTGCAAAATGTGTGCCGTGAGTCGTTTTATTTTTTTATTATACCGAAATCCATACTCAGTGAACTACATGCCCACAAGGTTTCAATGCTATACGTTTTGCCCTGTAATGTAGGCTCAAGGAACTCCTAGCCACCCAGTTTCAACCTTATACTTTTCCCGTTTTTGCTGGCGGAAAAAATATACTTGGAAAAGCGACCCACCAAAAGATGTGATTTGGGGAGACGCACAACAAAAAACGGCATTTTTTCTTAAATAAACATCACGTCCGTTATGCGTGCGCCAGCTACTTTTCTACTTCTGCCCGATTCGTTAGGAAATGAAAAATTATTTGAAAACGTTACGTCCCCAAGAAATATGAACCCCAAAAATATTTTGGAAATTTGACGTTTGACATTTGAGCTCAGTGCGTCAACGGTCACGTTCTTGCCAAGTTTCAGCTTTCATTTGTTTCCGTTTGATTGAAGCAAAGAGAACTATTTGAAAATATGTTCCCCAAAAAGGTGTGCCCCTATTGCATGTATCACCAAAGTAGAATTTTTCCTGAACTCACCATGCGAAGAGCTACTTATGTCAGTCAGCTACTCACGATCTTCAATATATAATAAAAGTAGAACTTTTTCTTTACTCAGCTATTCATCAGGTTCTTCTTAGCCAAGTTTAAACTTTCATGCGCCCTCTGTTTTGCTGGATCAGAAAATTTTGGAAAATACGCATTTTGCAAAATATGTTCCCTGAGTCGTTTTAACCGAAAAGTGCCATTTTTTTAAATTACCGAAATACATCCTCAGTGAACTACATGGCCACCAAGTTTCAATAATATACGTTTGGCCTTTTCGCTGGTGAAAAAACATGTTTGTAATAGCCGACCCACCCAAAAGCTATACCTGGAGTGGATGCACCATGAAAGTTGAATACTCCCTCAACTCAATAATATTGTTACGGAGGGAAAGTGGAGGACGACGGAAGGCATGAGAGGCCGAAAGAAAGCCAAGGAACGGCCGGGAATTGAACCCGGGCCTCCCGATTGCCGGTCAGGTGTGCTACCACTACACCCTCGACCCTCTCGATGCCATCCTCATCCGTCACAATATAATGTCACTTATAAGTGTGCCAAGTTTCACCATTCCATTTCTGTCCAATTCTCCACGTCAAATTTTTTTTTTTCAAAACATCGCCCTTCGAAAAAATTCCCCCGGGGGATTTATCGAGACTTAACATTTTTATTTAACTCCTTGTCTCAGTAGTCCAGCTCCAGCTCAGAAGAAGAACAGATCTGACATCTGCAAGGAAAACTTGGAGTTTTCTAAACAAATCGGGGAAACTTTTTTTCCCAGAATAGTAACTGGTGATGAAACTTGGGTTCATCACTGGGATCCCGAAACCAAGCAGGAGTCCATGCAGTGGAAGCACAAGGGATCGCCAACGCCTCGCAAATTTCGTGTTCAGAAATCTGCAGGAAAGATTATGGCCACTGTGTTTTGGGACAGCGAGGGACTACTGCTGCTTGAGTTCATGCCAGACAAGTGTACAATCACTGGCGATTCCTATGCTACCACCATGAAAAATTTACATGATGCCATCGAGGAAAAACGCAGAGGAAAGTTGTCAAGGGGGGTCCTTCTTCTCCATGACGACGCGCCCGTCCACAAATCATGGAAAGTTCAGGCAGCAGTGAGGGAGTGTGGCTTTCAGGAGCTCAACCATCCTCCCTACAACCCGGATCTGGCTCCAAGTGACTATTTTCTGTTCAGACACTTGAAAAAATTGTTGCGGGGAAGTAGATTTTCATGCAATGAAGAGCTGAAAGTTGCCGTTTCTGATTGGTTTGATGGACAAGAAGTTGACTTCTATTCCCAGGGAATAAAATCCTTGGAATCAAAGTGGAATAAGTTTGTTGAGTTAAAAGGTGACTACATTGAAAAATAAAGTGTTATTTTTCCCCTCTGATGTTTCTTTCATATTCAGGTAGATAACTTATTGAGTGACCCTCGTACCTCTTGGCCTTTGAAATCAGTTAGAGTACACTCTAACAATCTCTCTAGTGAATTAGTAGCCCTCCCATTCAACCTTGCCATTATATTTTAGAACTTGTAGTAGAATCTGTCTCCATGGAAAAAATATTCACTGTAGAAATGCAATTTGGAAGTACTACATTATGGTTTTCCTTTGTCCTTTTCAAACACTTACTGTTTTGAAATGAATCTATTTCAGATCATCCAAAACTTTCATTTGGAGTACCATCATGAGGACATCAATATACAAACAAGGCTGGTCAACTCTCCTAACCAACCCTTAAGGTTCAAGCTCATTGACCGCATTTATTGATCTCTGGAACCCATTCAGATATTTCTTTTCAGTCATATTTTAGCTTTTGATGAAAGGCATCCCTGATTGTCTACTGTTTATTGCTTCTCTGAAGATGGGATTGCAGGCTTTTTTGCAAGTCCAAAGTTGACTTCCAGACTATAATCTACTTGGGTGTCCTTTGAATGCTTTAGGTTATGGTAAGAATATTTGCTCACTGAGCATTTTTAATGGTATTACCTGCCCAAATGTTTTTTTCACTTAAAGTACAATTATACTGAACAAGGTGTCCCAAAAGGTATGGAAACATTTCAAAAATTAATATCTCTCTAAATTATGCCTCAAATAAAATGATTGAAACAGTAAAATGAAGTGCAACTCAAACATTTTTCAACCTGCTATTGCAATTCCACATGGGTACCATTTGTGATTTTGTAGATGTCTAAGCGATGTTTGAGCTCTTACCACACCTTTTGCAGAGTGTTAGGCATAACTATCGGGACCACTTGGACGATTCTGTTCTTTGGATCCTGATCAAGTGTCTACTTTTCTCCAGTAAGTGAAGTCCTTGACATAGCCCACAAGAAAAAGTCCTCTAGGGTTAGTTCAGGTGATCTTGGTGGTCATGGAATGAACCTGCTATGTCCAATCCACAGATCTGTTTTCTTTCCATGCCTTAACTTGCTAAAATGTGGAGTTGCAACATCTTAGAAAATCAGACTTTTATTGTGCCTGAACCCATCCCTCTTGGATTTTTTTTTACTATTATGGGGCTATGCCAAGGACATTCTTGAGTAAGCAATCTTCAATCTGATCTGAAGAACAGAATTGATGCAGTTATCCAGAAAGTTATACACGACACTCTGCATAAGTTGTGGTAAGAGCTTGAACATCGTTTGGACATCTATAAAGCCACAAATAGGGCCCATGTGGAATTGCAATAACAAGTTGAAAAATGTTTTAGTTGCATTTCAATTTACTGTTTTCATAATTTTATTTGAGGCATAATTTAGTGAGATATTAATTTTTTAAATGTTTCCATACCTTTTGGGATACCCTGTATATTTGGTCCTACTGTTGCCAAAATTTGTTCAGTTGCAGTATTACTTGTATTTATAGTCATGATTCCCTTTAACTTGACATACTTAAGTGTTGTTTCATGATGATGCGTATTAGAATATTTTTTAGCCATGGATTTTCTCTTCATCACTTTCACCATGAATGTGTCTATTATCCCTTGGTAGGAATGGCACTCTGGGCAGCAAATAATGGGTAAAATATGCAAGCCTTTTCATGTCTAGGGAGGGTTACAAGTTGTGTTCTATATGAAGGGCTGAAAGGTCTGTCTAAAAAAAATTTCCAAAAAAGAGTGTTGTTTTTTGTGCTTTAGAACCTTGTTCCTTTCATAGAAAATTATAATTTAATTTAAATTAGGTAAGTAGGTTTTCACATTAACCTGGATATTTACTTTGTGGTGGTATTTTTGTATTCTCCTGGTCATTGCTGGATTTATGGAGTTGTGAAGTAATGTATGCCCAATAATGCAATAGTTCCATGTGGAAGTCACACTTTTTCTCAATGATTTGTTCTTTTTCTGTCTGTCTCTAGTTTGTTCCTTTGTTGTACCTATGCCTGATTTATGCAATTTATTAATGTTATATTTGAATGTGGTGTAATTCACCCTGACATGTCCTTATTTCTGTACCCGATGTTTGAATTCTTACCCTCTCATCAATATTTTATCTTTATAAATATATCTCAATAAATGCTTGCTTTCAACAAATTTTTCTTCAGAGTTGTCTATGGATGGTTGGAAATAGAATATACCTTTCTTGCAGGCCTGTTGCTCTCAATGAAAGCAGGTATGGAAGGAGTGCAGCCTTGTCCACTTAGGAACAACTTCCTTCTTGTTTTTTGTTGTTGCTGGAATAGTGGAATGGCTCCTTTCTGAAAGCAATAATTTCCTTAATTGCTCTTTTTTCATAGAGTGCTATATTTGGGCATTTGCTTCACCACTGAAAGTCTCAAGCACCTACAGAGGAACATAAGATTTAAAATGTTCCCATCCTTGACTCCTCAGGACATAAGTCTGCAAATCTCCTCTAGTTTTCTAAGCATGTCTGTAAGAAAAAAATAAAACTTGTGCAGCTTAATGTGGCGTGCTTCAAAACAATTCTAACAATTACATGTTTGCACTAAGATATCAGATGTATTTATTCACGCTTTCTCACTAAGTTGGCAGCACTAGGCCATGAGCCTTTTGGTGCCTTGATGTGGTAGATGATTGAGGGGTATCACTCCATCCAAAGGCAAGCTCTCTGCATGTGACAAGCTGTCTAGGCACTTTTCAGATTTTTCTTCCAGACATAACGTAGAAATTTAGCAGTCCCCTTATACTCAGATAAAAATGGGTTTTGAGGGGCATACCAAGTCATTGTCTTATGTCTTAGTCCACTCTAGGACTCCGAAGCTGTGCATTCTTATAATTGAAAGAACAAATGCCATACTCTTTAAAATGAGTGTATTCTAATAACTTGATTGGAAACCACACACCCATAAGCGAACAAGGTCTCTTACTGTTGGAACTACACTCTTTCGAGAAAATATACCTTGCGGATGGCATGAAATGTACGATTGTGAGTGAAGACTAGTAGAACCAATGCGCTACTATATGACAGACACCTTCCAATCACTTCTCATACACAAGAGATCACAGTGTCACCCTTAACCAGGTGAGAAGGATAGGCGATGCAAGCATCCAACATTCTGCCTTTCTGAACAGCAGTGACATTGGGAAAGCTTTTCCAACAAAAGATATCATAGCTTTAATGACAGCCTTCCTTCCATATTGCCTGCATGGGATGAGTACAAGTACAGCCCCTGACAGAGTTACATTTCACCTTCATTTGCTCACACCAGTTATTACACAGAAATAACACACAGGTTGAGAATGCCCTTGTTTGCTCTGTTGAGCATGAAAACATCACAAGTGGGGAATTGAACTCTGTCATGAACTGTCCTTTGTTGGGATGTACACAAGTTCAATTATTCAAAAGGAATACATGACCTTACAAAAAGAAACAAGAAAGACTATAAAAGGACAGGAGACACAATGTTCTGGATATGAGCAGGGAGGTCTGAGGTGCCACAGGAAAGGGAGAAAAGTACCTTGAGGAAAATCAATTGGCATGCAATGCAACTACCAGGATTTCAGGATGAAATGGATTGGGAAAAGCATTGTAACTACAACACAACTTCAGCTACTGAATTGTAGAATTCATCAGTTGCACTTTGATACAGTGAGATCCATTCGAAAGGCCTGAATAACAACAAAGAGCCAGCACAAAATCTGATTGTCCTATGGGATGGCACGGGCAGACCTCATACAGGGGAGACAGCAATGAAGGGCTTTGTTCAGACATCACAGTTGCAATTGAAAAGAGAATACATGAAAGTGAGCATGAGGAATACAGCCATGGGAGCAAAAAAATTCCCATTTTTAAGGCTGACTGACTAAATATCTGTGAGTGACGTGAAGACTGACATAAATACCTCTGAAATTCTTGGCACTGAATAATGTCTCAAAAATCTGCTGCTGCACAAACATTGCTTGAAACAACTCTGCAGAAAAGTGGTATTTCCCCTTTAAAAAAAAGGCCACCACACATGAGGCATTAACAAATGAAACATGGCTTTACCAAAAAATTGAGATTCTGCATGAGCAAAACTATTGACATCGAAAAATAATTCCTGAAGAGGGAACATCAACCTCACTGAGGAACAACATAAAGCCGCTGGCACTGTCATATCCTCACACAATATGTATCATAAAGCTTTTAGGGACAAGTATCTCTGATTCTCTAATGCCTTAAGATGTATACTGAATATTTGAGAACTGTCTCCTCTCCAAAAAGCTATCATACTACATTAGTATATACCTGCAATGAAGAAAAAAACTTTCACATTCCAACTGTGCTAGTAACATCATTTTCTTCATATTTCATAAAATTGAGAGATTCAATCATGGAATTCACTACCACCTCTTCCTGATGCTACTATGAGGAAGTCAACTGCTCTATTGCACAGGAACTCCCAATGTACAGTCAGCCTGTGTGCAAACCGTGAGTGGCAAGCAGGCCAAATTCAAATCTAAGGAATGATTATCTTTGGCATGTAGTTCAGGCAAAAGAGTTGGATCACAGAGCAAGAGGAGCTTTAGAGGAGCATGACAGCTTATAACCATTGATGAACAGATGTCATTCCCTGCCAAATGGAAATGTTAATGCAAAACCATAAAAATCATGAACCTTCCTTTCTTCTACTGCTGTCATAGCAGTGCCCACAATCCATGCTATTGCAGAAACAGTCAGTTTCACAGAGCATGAACAAACAGCTTCAACAAGAATCAAAATAAAAAAATGAAACCTGTTAAAACTTTGTAGAAACCCTGCAATGGGGAGGGGTACATAAGTTTTTGCTCAGGAGCTGGCAAACAGGGCACAAAGCCACCATGCATCCACTGCAGCCAGAGAATTCTGGTGGTCCCGAACATAATAGTCTAGTGTTCACAGAGTACAGTGCTCGTCATGACTAGATGAAGCATGAAGCCTGAATGAATGTGGACTGGCCTTCAGGGAATCCTCAAGTCTGGATCATCACAGCTGCACGGACGAGAGATTAGGATAGGAGAAAACAGCACTTTGGTCCCAGGTATTCTCACCCACTCAACACATCAGGGTCGATGGAACCTGCAAGAAGAAAAATAGAGAAAGCTTTACAGAGTCAACACCTGTAACAGATATAGAATCAGGTGCAAAACTCATTCAGCACAAGCAGGCATTCCAACCTTGTCAGATGACGACTTTCTTCATGGACTTCCATCTCTCCACTCTTGTATTCATTAAGTTCTCTCCTGATGGCTGCTTTCTCTCTTGGTGTGAGCCTGGTCCAGGGCTTATCAGCCCTCCGATCATATGAATGTGCTGGAGTCACTTCTATGTAATCATTGAACCGGATGATTTTCCTTTGCTTCAGTTCATCAATAGTAGGACGGAAGCTGAGCTTCCTCAACAAGGTAATCTTCCTTTGTTCCTTTTGCATCAACTCTTCTTCTGGTAGACAGGCTATAGGGAAAGCAATTTCCATGGGTAAACACTCACCTGTTCCAGAATCCAAGACTGATCAATGAAGCCTACACTTACTCTTTAGGATATTCCTATTCTCAAGATCTTCTACTGTTGGTCTCAAACTGAGCCGCCTGAAAAAAATACAAATAGAAAGAGTAAAGAATTCTTCTCATGTAAATATTACCTCAACTTGTTGGACTGAGAATAAGCAAAAGAAGCAAGATGTCAGACCTTGTCAATTGAACACCGACAGCATCCCTAAACTCTTTCCGCTCCTCTTCTGACTGTCGATGAAGGATGTTCCTTTCTATGAGTTCTTGACGGTCAGGACGGAGAGCTAACTTCACAGCCAGGGTGTCACGACACTGAGCACGAGTAGCCATTCCATCTATATCAGACAGAGGTCCATGCATATTGGGGCAATATGGCTTTTTTTAATTTAAGAAGCACAAATGCACTCACAGTCATCATGATCAACATCTTCAGGATCATCATGACAAGGGAGTGAAATGGGTGGAGGTGGTGACTTCATTTGCCTCCCCCCCAGGCATGCAGCACTAAACTTCAGGGGTACACTGTTTCAGGAAAAGATCAAGTGTGAATTTCTGCTCACAAGCCAATTACTGTAAAACTTTCAAGTTCCATTGACAAATAAACATCAAACAGCAATTATGACATCATATTATGGACAAAGACATTTGTAAGAAATGTTGATTAATGGAATGACATACCATGAACATTAACTATATGGATTATGTAACTATATGGACTAAGTATTTGGGATTACCCACTTTAAAAATAATTTTTATATATCTTTTCATAAAAAATAGGCCACTTGTATCCATGATTCTACACATTAGAAAGATCAGCAAATCAATGATTAGGCCTCTAAATACAAAATTGTGGATTCCTCAGGAGTCCCATGCATCTGAAACTGTTATCCATGGAGGCTAGGAGTGATAAGCAGTCATAATAAAGATGCTTCTATGAAGCTGGTCGAAACACTGCAGGCCACATGTCTCATCCATGCATACATGCTTTATGCCTCAGTTTAATTTTTTCCCAAGCAGAACAACCTTTTTCAACATCTTAAGTATTTCTTGACAAGATTGCACAATGATTACAGAATAACCTTGAATACTGAGCATGTATGATATTTTTAAATTATGTCGGCAGCACCACTTTGAAGAATTTCCCTCAAATTTCTTGAAAGCTGTCCATTGGCTTTCCTTAGTATGCATATACAGTCAACTCTGCTTATTGGAATATTCACAGGACCAGCAAATTTTATTCTAAAATCTGGAATATTTCAATAACTGAAACTATCTTCTGTACCGTACCATATCATATATATTGGGATTGTGCAATAGTATTCCACTATGCAGAGTCGACTGTATTTATTTAAGACTGGATTTTTGCTCAGATAAATAAAGATTGAATTATACATTAAATCCAAATTCTAAACAAGAGTTAAAAAAAAAAGATATTAATGAACATCTCTAAGTAATATAAATATTCTCTACATATCAATCCCTTTGAAGTTGATTGCTGACAATGGAAAGTAGATAGCAGGATATCCACAGTATGTGGACCAGTACTATCTCAGTCATGGGAGACATAGGGTGCCACTTGTAAGCATGCAGTGGATAGGATTCAAAGTTACCTGAATCGCAATTTCGGGATCAGGGACTCGCATCTTCAGAAGAAAACATGTGTCAATTCAAAACAACTTAAGTTCTTGCGTTCTAAAGAACTCACAAAGATTACTGGAATCACAATACTAGGATGGGTGTTTTACCTGATTGGGGAGGGTGAAGGGGTATGAGCAGGAGATTCTCGGATCACATCAGGCACTTGAGGCTGCTTCTTCTTCTTCATGGCAGACTTTAAGGGCTGGACATCAAACCGTGGCTCCTTTGCAGGCACTTCTTCCACATGGCCCTCTTCAAAATAGTCTTCATAAAGTTCTTCCTCTTCCTCTTCTTCCCATTCATGGTGTCCCTCATGATCTTCATTTATACCCCTGTCATCTGCAGGGAAAATTGAAACGCAATTATGCCATCTCTTCCACAGGACTATCACAGGGAGGTCATGACTAATTCAAAGTGAAAAGTGCATGCAAGGAATCAGAATGCCCAACAAATGTAGCTAAAGGATAAAGAGGGATAAAACAAACATGAGACTGAAGCAACTCACCTGCCATTCTCATGGAATACTGGTATCTGTCATGGTGAATCTGAGAGTACGGTGGTGGTGGTGGGGTAGAGTATTCAGAGGAAAACATGGGAGGAGGAGGAATGGGTCCAATTTCTGACACAGGAATTGGTGGTTCAGGCAGTTGGAAGATTGAATTGGTAAGATTACTAGGGGGCAGTGGAGAGGGATCACGGACTGGAACCTCATCTTTGTAGGGTTTGGCTGCAATGATGAGAAATGCCACCAATCACTGCAACTGGTACTGAACTCTAGCTACTTTAGTGCCACCTCATTAATCTCTTCTACTAATGCCTACAGACTTATATGGGTGAAATACATACATGGTATACTAAAACAAGCTAAGTAACATCTAGAACAAATTTTTGAAGGGGATACTAGGTTTAACTATATAAACAAGGATAGGATGGAGGATTCTGTTGACAGAAAATTACAGAAAAATTGAGACATATTAGAAAACACTTCTGCAAATTTCACATCAAACTAATGGTGTAAGCTCCCAGGCCCAATATCCTTATGAGATATGAAACTTTCCCCATAAAACAGTACACTTGGCAAACTGGGGGTATGAATCCTTGGAAGATGAGATCATCATTTACATTCTGTATTCACCTATGCACATCTCACCAATGAAAAACTTCAGATGAATCATAATTATGCTCATGTCTTTTTTATTTTTAAAAATGACAGAGACAACTGACATCATGACAACTGGCTTTGCATTGTCTTCAGATTGTCATCTTGAAAAAGAGAACCACTTCATCACTTGAAGGAGCTGTAGTAGCAAAACAAAACAATTTCTCTTTCAATCTGTTCTGCAGATGACATAAGGTGCACAATGAGTAAGCGTGACTCATGGACTAGATGGTTAAACCTGTGGGTCAAAGTCCCTTGAAAGTTTTATGACTGGTTCCCATCAGTTTTAGAAGTTTTATTCCCTCCCACACATGGACTAACATGTCATCCACATGTGGCTGACAGTAAATGTGTCAAGTAGCACCAACTACTTATACCCCAGTCAATGCATTTTCATATTTCATTCTCACATAGGATGAGGTAATAAGAAAACAGCTCTCCCACAGCTTGTACTTCTTGTTATAACATTCATCTTCAAAATCAGTCCATATAATCTAGTACATCTTCATTATATTTACTTTAGAATTCAAATTTAAATATCATGAAGTTAATTAACTTAATTTTAAAAGTAATAGAAAGGAATAAACTTGAAAAAATTAATATGAAGGGGAGAACCAGTCTTTGGACAAGACTGTTTGGAAACTTCCAATTTTGATGCTCAGGCCCAAAAGAGCTGAAGTGGACAGTGGATATACATGATTATGAGCTTGATATCTGTTTTTCAAGTATAAGAACTTATAGAGGTGGACAAAAAAAAAATTATTTAAACTAAATAAATTTTGAATGTTACCACTGATTGGGAATCAGTGAGTTCTGAACTGTAGTGAACCCATGAGGAAGAGACAAGAAGACAAGAAACTCAGAGAGAATTAGGACCACTCACTTGGAAGATCATCATGATATGTTGGTCTCCTGGCAGGATGAGAAAGAACCCCAACAGGCAGAACCTGAAGCAATTTTGGTCGAGGGGGGGGAAAAGGATGAGAGTTGACTGTTGATTGCATGTCATTGCCCCTACAAGGCTGATTCATCAACTCTCTCTCTGACTGATGAGAATGTTCTGAGACTGGGGCAGGAGGTAATTTGCTTGGTATGGAATGGGCATTGCAAGGTGAAGGCACCCTGAGCAACAGATCAGGGGGATTGGTACTTTTGGCACCCTGCTCCTGCCCTTCTTGATGTCCATCTGCTTCTGTGTTACCTGAACCATGTAAGCAAAAAAAAAAAGATAATGGCATGATTCTGTTATAGTGACTAGAAGTTTTCTACTATGTTCAAAAGTGACAATATACAGTATGAGGAATTGTCTCATGTTCATTTCTCAAGATTACTGAATTTAGCTTCTCATGAAAAATTAGATCCAGCCCCCTACTACTAAATGCAAGCTTTCAAGGACTTGTAACTGCAAGCCCACCTTTCCCACCCCCTTCCAAGTCAAGAGATGCAAACTGGCGAGGAGCTTTCCCTTTCCTGCTTGGATTGCCAGAGATAGAGGCACTCTTCTTGAAGGTTCCTTCAATAGAGGAAAAAAAAAAAAAACTCTATAAGAACTCTGGTGGTTCAAGCACATGCTCCATTCAGACGAACATGAAGAACAAAACATAAAACATAAAGACTCCACATTAACATGAAGATCCAGAACATGTTTAATGGCAGGCTCTGTGCAAATGCATAATGACATGCATAGCCACTTTCACATCAAGTAAAATAAATGTTGACTGTACCTGATCCAGTTACCCTTTTATTGGATACTATCTGATTTTCAACATATAATGCAGGGAAAATTGCCTCACCAGTAAATTTGCCTGCAGAAAAAGAAGTAAAAGCACACTGATACTTTCCATCCCTTTCTTTTCCTTTCAAATCTGATTCTGCTACATAGATTTCAGGCAAAGGGGTATGACAGACTGGCAAAAGAGGAAGCAGGGGCAAGGTACAGGAAATTAGGAATTAGTGTTTGAGATTGTAAACCAGGAGGAATTCCAAATATCCAGGCTTGGAACTAAGAGACTGGACTAACTATGGATCATAGACATTGTGTGACCACAGTCCCCTCCCAAAGTGATATTTTTGCCCATATAGAGGATAAGTACCATCCAATGTAAAACTCTGATGCATAGGTATGGGAACAAGGCTCCCAGAAGTTACACCAGTTACAGTTCAGAGGGCTTCAACAAGTCAAAATTAAAAGATGGGATATTTGGCCATATTCCACCAGAACCAGATATTCTAAGCATTCATGCCAAGCTCATGGCCACAAAAACCTTTCATGTTACTGAACTTGCCAGCTGTGTATCAGTAATTCTTATTAGTATAATTTCCCTGCCCCATTATTGGAATCATAAGACCTTGTACCTTCAGTAGAGGAAGATTTCTTCTCCTTTTTTGATCTCCATCTCCAAGGACGTAAGATTGTTCCCAAAATGAAGAAGCGTCTCCGCCGGGTGATGACAGGAGATGTGAGTTCCTCTCCTCTGGATTCATCTTCTGATGGTTTATGGCTTGTGGCAATGATTGTCTTCTCATCTTTTTCTTCTGTTGGACTCCTTGCAACTAAAAAAGGTGACAGCAAAAATTAATATGATCAATGCATCTGATGTTCCAGAATTTGTAAACCTCTATAAGCTGTATTTTTCAAAGAAAATGAGCCTTGTCTAATTGCAACTTCAAATTGAAATAAATTTTTCTATTACAGCAATCTTAGAGTTAGCATAAAATTTGGTCTTGTCTCAATATTCCTGACAAAACTGCATTTGCATTGCACTGTTAGGCATTTTACCATGAAGAAAAAGCTTTTGGGGGGATTACTATGGAGGACTATAGTGTAGCTTGTTGAGAGTATGACAATACCATGACTAATACTACTGAACACAGGACTGGAGATGAGAATCCAATATGTGAAAACATGGAAATCTCCATGATCCATTACCAATGCATTAAAAAGGAAGCAACAAAACTTCAAGGTTAAGAACTAGCCAATCAGCAATATTTTGTGGAAAATTTTAGCATGTAAAAACCTTTTTGAAACAGGGAAAATTTGAAGAGAATGAAAAAACCAAACAGAATGAGACTGCTACCACAGCTACAAGAATCACAATAGGATTTGATGGGCAAGGGAATTGCATGGTTAATCACTGGATGTAATCTATCTATCCTGGCCTTTCAAAACAGACCAGGACCATTTAAAAAATGGGGTCTGACAAGACTGGGGCCAATCACTTGGATAAATCAATATGTGATTTTGGCAAATACCACTTAATATCAGCACTGGTATAAGGTATACAGGCCATAACAATTTAATTTCAATCTGGTTCATCTTAATGCCAGAGAACTAAACCACTATGACAAATTTGCAGCCATAGAATGTGCCTCCTGTGATAGGGACTTTACTGTTGAATCCCCTTTACTCATAGTCATGCCAAAGGTAAAACAACCAATCAAGATTTTCTTGATGAAATGTTAATAGGTTCCCAAATCTCCTCCTGAATGAAGTTATTCTTTACCTTTTACCATTCAATGCAATAAAGAATTCAATAAATAAATCAAGCAGGAATAATTGATTATGTGACATGATTTTGTATTATTTTATAATCACTTAGAATATCTTTTTTTTTTCAATACACCAAAATGGGAAATCTCACCTGCAAATTTTTCATTGAGGAATTCAAGTGACAGTGATGATGCAATTATTTGCCGCTTCTCAAGGAAGGACAATGATTCCAGAGAATTTGTTTTCAGAAGAGGGGGATGTTCTTTTTCTGATGATTTTTCTTTAAAAACATATGCACTCTCCACCTTCATTGACATTTCACCAGCAATGAGCCTGACATTCAGTTAGTCAGGAGCACCCATAGCTCAAGGACCTTCCCCATGAGGTTATATTGGCCAATCGTCTTTAAAAACAGCTAAGCTTGCTGCAAGTACTGGATCAAGTTTCAGGGCAAATACTGCCCCATTATGTCTACTTAAAGTAGCTTTTGGGCAACTGGGACTGGCTATTAATGGGCATGAATGGCTAATTATGACAGGAAAACGGGTCTGCTCATTCCTGAAAAGAGGCAGCAAAGAGATTAAGTCAAAACCTAAGGTGAAGCAACCAAGAGCACAATGTTTTCAGATTCATTTTATACTGGGCTGATTATAGAATGTAAGAGGAATTACGCCAATTCTACATTCAATGTGGGCAACTGTATTTTTTTATGTGATAGTTGTAGCATCCTAAGCACTCTTGGGATGTGAAGCATCCCAAGAGTGAGATCTTGCACACACATGCTGAGAAAAGCTCTTTCTTACCACTTACTTCCAGAAAATTAACACTGAAGCATTCAACTAAATTAGGAGGGCTTTGTGGAACATCATGCAAAGTCACTGACTTCTTTTCCTGGGAAAATGGCAACTAAAGTTTTAGATGGCCATAGACTAGCACTTGTATGGTGTCTGGCATACTAAGCCAGTCATTTTTGAACTAATTGAAAATTTTCCAGTAGCACATGACAGGTGTAACAAATGTACTGCAGTAATAAACCCAACTTGACTTTTTAAATGCAGCTCAGCACTCATGTAATAAACAATTCAGGAAGTACAAACAAGTGAGACAGGAAGAGTCCTATAATGCTAGACATATATATCAATCTAGAGCTGTGAAGTGTTCAGAAAAAATTTGATCTTTTTTTTTATAAATAAAACCCCTTTGTAATTTCTTTCATTTATATTAGTCAGTATGGGGAAGAGCAACACTGAAATGAATTATTCAAACAAGAAAAAACCTTTTACTTGGTATGTTTTACACCATGAAACTCAAGCTAACTACCAACACAGCCATTCACCTGCTCCATGGCTCCAGCACTGTATCAAGCCTAAAGATTGCTTTCATTTGCAAGATTGTGATAAATAGACCATGATATTTTCCTTTAATGGATGCAAATAAACTACTCTTCAAATAATTATTGAATTACAGCTCAAATGAAAGGTCTTCTTCAGAATGTGTCAAAGGTATTATGCACTGGGAGTAACTTTAATGCATCAGTTAGAGATGAAAGTAGGGGGATCATGGATTTTGTCATACAATTACCAAGTTACTGTTGAATGTGAACTCACATAATAGACTCTTTGCTTCTTGGAACCTCATCCAATAGACCATAACCTACAGAGAATTAAGTTGGCCTTTACATTTTTTAAAACTACTTCTCATATATGCCTTTATCTCCAAGATTAGCACTTTCAATAAAGAACTCATAAGATGAAGCATGACTGAAGCTCCTTCTTTCTACCTAGAAAATTTATTTATTAAAAAATTTTGACCTTTGCAATTTACAGTATTGCAGGACATATAATGGATTCTAAAATGGGAACAGACGGTGCTGTTGAATAGATTTTTACCGCCAGCTTAGCGGTGTACATCATAATCTACTTACAGTTAAAATCAACGGCCTGGGTCCAAAGCGTAAGCCCTTAATACGTATATAATTAGTGTAAAATTCGACTAGGCTACGTAGGGAGATAAACACTGACGCCTAATGAGAGGCCGAGAGCGCATTAAGCGCACGATAACCGAGGACAAGCTGGAACAGATAGGGCGCGAGACGGAAAACAAGGTAACACGACCGGATCTTTCCCTCCCGACAGCCAACACCACGGAACCTAACGTTAGGCCTATCGCCCGCAGCACCAGCCGTATGGCCGTGAGCGGAATGAGCAAGGCGCATGCGCAGGCAGGTAACATTCCAGCACCCAGCGGGCAGGCCGCGGGCCTCCCCGAGTGGGCCGGGGCTCCAATCTGGCTGCGGGACCCTCGTTGCGCCTGCTGTCACGTGTGCTGCCACGGGATGCGACGAGGCGAGATTCACGATACAAAAACAAACAAAAAGAGATTCAAAACTGTCCTTGGAAGCGATTTTGATGGCTATCGCGAGGACCGGATTCGGAATCCGGTCCACGTTAGAGACGCTATCGGAGCCGATGGCGCTCCCCTGATAGCCATCCTTCACCGCTACAGATACATTTTCTATCCTTGGGAAACGTTCTGGAATTATTTTCCCATCCGAGATATAGAGCTTCGAGCTCAGGCCGGAAGCACAGCAAGATTTCACGGACGGACCCTCCATGCAGGACCGTGCCGCGCCAGCATATAATCATGAATGCATGTTTTGCCGACTGTGTCCCTCACGCCTTGCCACATGCCAGATTGCATCAGCGTCGACACGTGCATGCAAACATCCACAAACGAAAAAAGATCTCCAAAAGGGGGAGGAGGAAACCCCAAAGGCAATACCAAATCGGCAGCATCTCATCCGTGAAGCACGTGTTCCTGGGTTTCCCTCGTTCGTCGAGGTTTTTTTCTTTCTTTCGCGATTTGCCATCGTTGGAAAAAAAAATGATGCGTGGAAACCCGACGCTTGTTCATATATGCGAGGTCCATCCGTGAAAACTCGATGCGTTCCCACGCGATGCTCGAGGCACCACCTCGACCGGAAAAATAAATGATGGAATGTTTCCCAGTGTAGGAAACGTGCCTGTCGGCACCCGTCACGGCTAACCATCGCCGTCCCCAACGGGTTGGGGAATCCTCCCTCGCATTTCTTAACGATAGATCCAAGGCGATGTCCGAATCCTAGCAGAATTTTCGGGATGAGAGTGGGTGTGGCGATCGAAACTGCTGGACTCGAACTGAATCCCCTACTTCCGGAATGTCCCTCGACGATGACCTTCCGCTTCCTCCTCCCGGTGAAGTGACGTCATTATCACGGATGTCAAAGCACGGTTGTCAAATCCGGGAACGGCCGAGATCGTCCCCGGCCCCAGCGCGACGCGAGGCGGTCGCGCGGCTCGCGAGGGCTTAATCGCCTGTTCGCGTCGCGTCAGGCAGTGGCCGCGCGCGATCGGGTGCACGATCGAACGCGCGATCGGATGCACGATCGAATGCACGATCGAATGCGCGATCGGATGCGCGACGAATTACCATTTCGCTAATGACTTCTGAGCCCCTCCCTAGAGTCTCTCCCCCTTTCGCATCGATCGAGATCAGAAGACGTCCGCAGATGAGTCTCCGCTCTCTGTCGCACGACAAAGGCAGGAAGAGAGAAACATACAGACGCACGCAGACACACACAGACACAGACACAGACAGGATGGAGCTACGAGCGGTCTCTTTCCTGTTCGGGAAGGAGGCCACAAAAGAAGCCACAAAAAAAAAGTTTCTGAAGGGTTGAGTCGGCATCTGAGAGGCATCTAAATATAGTCTCGATGATTCTTCCACTTTTTCACATTATGACTTTTAAAAAGGGGTTGAATTCAGCCATACTTTTTAATCACCTTTCGCTGGGGAGGAATTCTCGGAAAGTCGAGTTTTGATGATGAAAATAAAAAATGAGAGACCTGATCCAGCCTAAAAATAGCAGGATAGAAGCACTCGATCCCTCGAGAGGATCATCTCGAGATGATAAGGATCATCCGCTGAAAAGCAACCTACAATTGGCAATGAACCTTTGATGATATTTTAAATTCACTTCTTCCCTTTCTATATTTTGCTGGGATAGAAAAAGAGAGAGCGACTTCATGACCCGAGATCCATCGGAGAGTTTCCGGGAATCGGATTTCACCGCCCGTGCCCGATTCCCGCCTCAATCCTGCAGGAAATATATATTCTTTTTTTAAATTTTTTATTTCTCTCTTCCGGCTTTTGTTCTTCGGCGGAAAAGTATTCTCATTGGGCTGATCGCCGTGCGAAATTGACTTGGGGATAGGCCACGATACAAGCTGGGCGGGATTCTGCGCTCGAAGCCAAAAAATCTGCTGCCTGCAGGGAAATCGAGAAAAGGAATCGAGCAACCTGCCTGAACCTCGGACGGAACGCGCATGCGCGTCCCTCGACCTGGGGCCGGGGGGGGGGGGGGGCGGGTTTCCCCGCGTGAGCCGCCAGTTCTGGTCCGACCTTCATGCCCGAGGCCTGCCCGCCCTGGGACGGCGGAGGCAGGGTCGCTTCCTGCAGGAAAGGGACCGAAACGAGGCGGGATCGGCACGGCACACTGCACATGGGCCATTAGGCCAAGTGTTCGCCATTTCTGAGGGGAATAACCGACGCGGAAAATATACGCTGGAGTGTGCGAACGAGGAAAACGGTTCGCCTTCAGCCCTCCATCGAAAGTACGAGCCGAATCGCATTCGCACTTCATTTGCCCGAGTTTTGCGAGTTTTGTCTGCCTCATTAGGCAGGCAATCAAAAGGAGATGGGAACACATATCGGTGCCATGAGATACTGATTCATCGGTATCGTTTCACGGCATCGAGAGGGTGGCCAGACTCGTTCCTCAGCGACGAAGGACGGAAATTCTCCTCGCTTTGCAGCCTCGAGACCGAGCGATCGCAGAAACCGCGATCTCTCCCTTTCTCTCGAATTTCGCCCGTCGGCCCTTCCGCGATAACGCAAGGCGTCCGAGAGTGGTTACGTCGGTTTCGAATCGAAATATCTCCTCGACGGGGAAAAATAAAAACGTGCGGTTTGCACGAAAGTACAGGTTAGTGTAGCGAATTTACTCCCCCTGCACGACATCCTTGATAGTTCCTTACTTTCCCGCTGCAAGGCACTCCCAAAGCTGTCATGACGGCGTCTATGCAGCAAAAGGCTCAACGCGGGACACGGTCAGCACAATTTCAATCCGTTACTCGCGCCCAGCGCGAATTCAGACGTGCGTACGATACAGAACCCCCTCGCAAGGACTCCATTCGAAGACGGTTGAACCAACCAAGGTCATCTCCTGGTTGGCCTCGCAGGGAGGAAACAGTGCAATGCATTCACTAGGCATTTTCACGAAGTAAATTTCGCATGCAAATCCGGACGGATTTGCGCGGACGGAAATGCTGTACTCCAGTTACAACTCCCTGAATCCACGATGTGATGTGTTTCACAAACGACTACGATTGCGTGGATTTACATGGACATTTCCACTCTCTTCAAATTTTTTTTGTACCATCTTCGAATGGAGTCCTTGCGAGGAGGTTCTGTATCATACACACGTCTGAATCCGCGCTTAACACGAGTAACGGATTGAAATTGCGCTAATCGTGTCACGCAGTGAGCCTTTTGCTGCACAGACGCCATTATAACGGCTTTGGGAGCGCCTCGCCGCGAGAAACTCGCGAACTACTAAGGATGTTGTGCAGGGTGAGCGAAGTCGCAACTCCAACCTTTAGTGCGAAAATGCATGTTTTTATGTTTCCCCGTTGAGATGTTTCGATTTGAAACAGGCGTCACCGTTCTCGGACACCCAATTATGAAAATAAGAGAGTGGTTCTTTGCCTTGTCGGTGATGAAGCCGATAAGAAGACCACAAAAGGTAATTATACATGTCTTCCCAGGCGTATTAGCGAGATCAAGGACGATTGCGGGCCCATTTCCATCCCGAGCATTCTATTCGCAAGAACTACAGCCGAGACCCCAGCCCAGCGGCAGTCCAAATTCACTCAAGAGGCACGGAGGGGGACGTGCCTCGTCTCCGATTAGTTTCTATCGCCGGAATGGGTTTTCATGTTCCTAATGATGTTATGAGAAACGGCCAGGAATGTGATGCAGGGCGCCTCTGCTGATGATTTGCTTTCAGGGACATCGTCTCATGTTTTTACGATCGAAGGCGCTGTAGGGTTATGAGTAGGCGCTTATGTTCACCGAGTAAAAGAATTTGATACGATGGTTTATCCGATACTTTGGGGCACAAAGTACTCGGTTCCACTCCTTTCAATAGCGAAATGTTTGGGCATTCCTTGGAGAGAAACTTCACGCGTCAAGCTCGTCAAAGGCTCATTTTCATCCCTTCTCCTGCACTGATTCACTGTATGACCTTGCCCCCCCAGGGAAAAGTCACAAATCATCGGAAGTTAAGCATCTGTCGCTGAAGAAAAAAACTACATGTCAATAACGGAGTGGTGGGGCCCCGATACTTAATGCACCATTCCGTACATGGCTCTCCAAACTTGTTTACACCAGCTCGACGGTCACAAATCATGGGAGGCAGTTCAGATCTCAACGGCTATCGAATTGGGTGAGCAGGCGATTTGCCTTCGGGCAGCAGCACTCCAGGGTTTCACATATCAGCATCTCTTTTTTCTTTATCTTCTTACAAGCTGTTCTGTACTACGTTGCCAGATACATATATATATTGAAGACACGCGGAATCGGAAAGCTTTATTTTGAAGCTTGCACGCATAACACTTTTCACAATTTTCTCATATATATATATATATATATTGGCTTAAATATTTGGCACCAAGTAGTATCACAGGAAGAAGTTATGTTTCAGTTGTTGGCACACCAAGCTGTGACCTCAGCTATTTACAAGAGGCTCAAGCGATTGCCAAAACTCAAGTATAAATACCTCTTTTCGTTCAAAGGAAAAGTGGTAAAAAGAATATATATGACTAAATGCTATAGTACAGAAGGATACAGATGACTTGCAGCACTGCACTTCACAAGAAAAGGACTGACGGCCCTACCCGTACACAAACCTGACCGCAGCACAGCAATGAGAAATCTCGGGATCACATGAATGGATATAAATACATGAATGTGTGATGAGAACAGAAAAAAGTTCATGAATCTTTATCAGATCCCTTTCCTCCTGTATCAGAAAATAAAGGTCAGACTTCCTCATGCATTCCAAATGAGTGCACAGGAGTTGCAGGCATGCACCAAGGATCAGTGGCTGGGTCAGGCAACCCATGCATGCATCCACTCACCAATTCATTAGCACTGAAACCCAGGAAAGAGATTCCAGGAGTCAGCAGGGCACAATGAGAAAAGTTTTGCTGGATACTTTTAACACAAGGGGAGTCATATGGAGGTGAAAGCACAGTAACTTCATAAAGGTGGAGGTGAGAGGTAGAATTTAGCAAGAAGTTTTTAACATCCTTTCTTGGTGCACTTCAGTGAAATTCAGGCATGATGGTTACATAACAGCCATCTTCACAAAGGCTTGCAGAGCAGAGACCCCTGTTGCAATACCAAAAAATGAATTATTGTTATTCTAAGTCACTCAGCTGATAAAATGAGTTGAAGTCAAAGCATATTTCAAGGATTAGCCTGGAAAAGCATTGAACCAACCACTCCAAACAGATCTGGTACAATTGAACATAATGCCACACCATATATCATGGTGATTAAAAAAATGATGAATGCATATAAGCAAGGCCTCAATGCAAATTTAGGATGAATAATCCAGTGAAAAAACAGCAGAAAAAAACAGTGGAAGAAAATCCCTGGCTTCCATTATTTTTCTTTTGCAGACAGCTCCATCTGTCGGGAGAGTGAGCTGAAAGCTGCCTGGAGTTTGGAGATTTCCACCTCTGCATTCTCTTTCTCGAGGAGCTTTTGGCACAACCGATCTTCAGAAACATTCACTGCAATCTCTGCTTGCTTCAACCTTGCCTGGAGTTCATTCACCTACAAAATATTGAATAGTCTCTTGTACTGTGTTGATGCAAAACCAGAAAAATAATGACTTTCTCATAAATTGACCTCATTTCATTTTCAATTTGGTTGCCTGAAATGACAGCCACAAACCTTGACATCACCAACCTTCATGGACTCAATGAGGCACAGTCCTTCCATGGTCATAAATAACAAAATTGCAAAAACCTCAGACTAACCTGAAGACTTGAATGCTTCATCTATATCATGAGGCATGAAATGAGTACAATTTCCATGTGTTAGAACTAAAAAAAATCAGCTGGTTTCAAACATGCCCAGAGGAAAACAATCTACCTTGAGATGTAGACACTCTGCAGAATTTCTCTCCTTCTGGAGCATATCTTCCAACTGCATACTTCTGACTTGTAGAGATTCTTTCTCCATGTCTGCTGTATCCTTGGCCTTTCGGCATGATGAAAGGCTCCTTCTTGCTTGTTCCAAATTGCCCTGGAGGGTAGAAACCCTCTGTTTCACATGCTGCAGTTCCTCCAACTGCCACTGCAATTGTTTGCATTCAAATTCCAAATCTTCTCGTTCTGTGCACAGCTCCATGTGTTTCTTCATTAAAGTGGCATACTCCATTTGCAATTTTTCCATCTGGGAAGAAATAGTTGATGGATGAGAATATATATAAATTCACACAAACAAAACAAAACTTGAGTCTATTATTCTGCATTTTGGTAATTCACCAAACTTTCATGCTCATAGGTCATCTTGTGAGCGAGCAGCATCTACAATTTTATGCCATAGATGTGACATTGCTTCATACACTGAAACAAAGTGAAAGTGGTTTGTCTTTGATGTCAGGGTTATAAATGTCTCTCAATGAAAATATTCAGGAGTTTCTGATTCATTGAGGAGTATCCACTCCCTGAAGTGAATCCACTATCTTGACAGTAAGAGATCATCTGAGAGTAGTGGAAGCAGGTGAACTATTCAGGCTCTGAAGCAATGGGAATGATGGGAAAAGTGAGGAGCACTCATAAATCAATGAAAGACTAGAAGGGCAACATGAGAAACAAGAGAAAAGAGGATCTAGGTAACTCAGATGGTTGTTTGACACTCCACCAATCCTATTTGCTTGGGAATGTCTCATTCAGGGAGGACATTTCAAAGGGGTAGAAGAAGGGTCTGTGCTCGACATTTAAAAGGGGTAAAAGCAGGCTCTGTATAATACATGAGTCAGAATCACCAAGTATAAGCTTCCTAGAATGCAGGAGATGAATACATTTTCTGGAGGCAATCTTCATCCAGGCATTTTATCAAGCCTAAGAATTCTCTCACAACTCATGAATTATTGCCTTTGATAACAGGGAAATGATTGATGACTAAGGTGGAACATAGTTTATTCTTACCTTTTGGCATCGAATGGCATGAACATGTAACTCCATCTCCTTTCTTGACAAGGTTTGCTCTAATTCATGCAGTTTAGCTTGGAGGTGGAGACATTCTTGCTGAATCTGAATTTGATGCATGTCCATATGTTTACTGTACACTGGGTTCATCATCTAGAAGGGAAAAAAAAATTAGATACAGTCATAGTGATCTTACATAACATGGGAAGCACACTTACTCCTGAAAAATGTAGATGGTTCTTTGGTTCAATCTTGGTCCTTTCCAATGTACCACTGCTTGACTTGTCTACTCTCATTCGTACAGGAAGCTCCAAGAATTCGTCCAGCTCACTTGAAGCAGTCTTTAAGCAGAAACATGGAGCAATGACACATGTTGCAAGCAATGGTAAATGTTAACATTTCAGACAATGAGACATCCAAAATCTTGACAGGTGTAAGTCCCATTTTAACATATTGAGGATGGGAGACACAAATCTGTGTTTTCATGTAGTTTCGTAGAACTGATTTTTTCTGTGTACTATTTTGTTCTGAGATGTGCTCATGTGGATTGTAGACATTCTGATGTTTCTTTTAGTACCTTTTTTTACCATCAGCTGCACTTTAATTGCTTTGTATTTATTTATTTGTATGATTAATGTCTACATTATATGTAGGGTGCTGGTCCTCAATGTGTTAAAGGGTTTTAAAATGTTTCTTTATTTTGGGCAGGGACTTTTACCTACCAGATGATGATCAATTTTGTACAAGTTCTCACCTCTTTCTGAGAGTGATGCATGAGACCATGTGATTTTTACTAACTGGGATTAGGTTTTTGAAAGTCTAGTGAAGAAAACAATCCTTCCGAGTCCAAGAATGAGAATATTTCTTTTAACATTGGTCAAAACTACATCATTGATTTACCTATAATGGTCTCAAAAGGATGGCACTTTCAGAAAAAGTGGTAAAGGGATTGGATCAGAATTCTAAAGCTGAACTTACTCCAAAAATTGGGCATAGAAGATGTGGCATTGATGACAGGAGTGTTTGGTCAGCATTGTATGCCACAATTGAATCCCTACTGTACAATCCTGGGAACACCTAGAAGAATAGTGCTGGGAATGAGATTTTTCTGGTTTGTATATCACTCAGAAAGAAGGGAATTGCACAACCTTTTCGGTGCATGAAGATCTACGAATTGGCATGCTATAAAAAATACCATGCAGGCCTACTCAAGCAAATTGAAGTTTCAACAGGGTTCATTCATGCTTGGCACACAGTCAGCAGACTCATGAGCACTGGCTTTCCTGTATTTCGAAAAACAAGCTTGAACAAAGCAGAAATTCTTGCCACGTTGAATAATCTATTCCAAATCAAACACAATCAAGAACTACACTATGGAACTTCAATACCTGAAGTTACAGTGTTAGGCAACATTGACCCTCAACTTAAGTATGTATTGCCAAGAAAAATTATAATTACCAAAATTATCTCTCATAACCTCTCATCCAGCCAGTTAGATGTGAAGTATTAATTTATATAATACCCTTCTTTGCACTGTTCATTTTCTTATTGGTCCAGCAGAAGTTTCTTTCACTGTATTAGCTCCAAAGAAAAAAATTATAGCAAGGAATATTCAGTTACTTCCATTTAATGCTGACTCTCAAAAGTAGAACCTCTACTATTAATAGATCACTATACCTAGCAATCAATTTTCAGTGCTTTTTGTTCTAGTGTATTACTCCTGGGAACCACCACAAAGTTGCAGTTCATTTGGAGAAAAACATTGATTCTTCTATTTCATCTAAGAAAGGGATGTCTTCTGAAGCACACATTGCACTTAACCTCATTTAGAGATGAATAGCATCTCTTTTTTGGTTCATGCTTTCTAAAGATGTAGACTTTTGAATTATGTTCAAAAGAGCATAAAAATCTGAGCAGGAGATTAATTAGTGAACCAAAGACATTGGCAGTGCAAAAGAAGATGTTCAAACTGTCAATAAAATTTATTTCGCCAAAAAAAAGTTAATCATTTTACTGCTGCACACACAGAATCAGAGCACCTTACATCTGACTGACATGGAAAATATGCCTTTATTCAGGTTTCATCACAATGAGATATTCTCCTAATTGTGTAGAAGAATCCCTGACAAGATCAATGGTGAAACAACATAAAAATAGTGTCATCAGAACTCCATGCAATTTCTTGATTTGATTTGATTTGAGTGATTTTAATATATAGGGTTCCATGAAATTCATCACCATACACATATATACATGGAAAGATAAACCACAATTATGAGAGGTAGCGCATTTGCTAGAAGCACATGCGCTTCATCCTGCTTACTCACCAAAGAGATCATAGAACACCATGAGGTCAAATTCAATGTAAAATGTTCATTGCCTACTGATAGAATTCAATTTAGTTTAGTTCACTCAATAATAAGCTCCATTCCATTTCTCCATTTAAAAAATAAATTACTTGGGTTAATAATTAAAAAAACTTGTATGTATGAAGATGTTGCTATTTTCATATTAGAATTTGCTTTAACAAGCAATAATCCATGCATTCATAAGCAACTTGAGTGCAACAACAAAAAGTGATTCTAAAAAAAAGAATAAAAAACATGATTTTCATGTACTTTTCACTTACATCTTTAAGTATAACTTCATTGCTCCTTAATATCTCAGGTATTGAGCACAGAAATAAAACATCCTGTATATGCCAAATGATGACTCTTCTGAAATACTTTCACTCTAATTCACTCATGCAAAAATTTGTTTAACATTCCTTTCACTTAAATACTTTATGCTATGCTGAATGAGTTTCTTAAGGGAAAACAATACAGCTTTTAATGAGAAAAGTCTGGGAAATTCCAAACCTACAGTACTCTCCAAGAGTATTAAACCCTCCCGACATAGCCACTTATTCTCAGATTGCCTCAAGGGAAGGGAGTGAATTTTGTTTGTTCCAAACAAGGGAGCCAATTAACTTCCTCTATTTATTTTCTTAATTTATTTCTTTCTCCCAGTGAACATGTTCAAAGGCATAAAACTCTTAAAACTGTTAAATGTGACACTTCACAACCTGAAGGCATGGGCAAAAGGAGAATGAACTCAAGTTGAAATGCTGTTTGAGTGAAAATAATACATAAAAAATGCCTCACCTGTGAATGACCACAACTCAAAGTTTTTGTTTTGAATTATGCAGAAGAGGAATAGTTATGATCAGTTTTCAAATGTATCATTATTTACTCAGAGAAAAATAAAAGGTCTCCCACTCATAGGAGACCTTCATCATAGAATCAGTGGATATGATCCTTGCACAGGGTTCTGACTTCCTGCATGCAAACAGCACTGAGTATTTTGGTTTAAATTCATGCTCTAATATGGGTGGAACGGACAACCTCAACAGCTCATGTGACTTGCTGGAGGGAGTAAGTGCAGCCATCAGACTGGGCAGTGAAAGCATGTGATAGATTCATTTCATTGGTAGAAAACAGTGAATTCAGAGGCACATGGAATGTGGAATCAAGCATTCTGCTTGATTCTCAGTATGCACTGTCTCCTATTTTCCAGGAATTTGAGAACGCCATAGAATACCATAGAATTATGTGGTAGCAAATCACTTTCTGAGTGATAGTATTTCTTAAAACCTCTCATGGATGGAGATTCTTTTTTTTTCTAGACAACTGCAATATATTGCTGAAGCAGTGTCAATGTGCATGCGTATGGGTATCTTCTTTGGGCTTTCAGAAAATAAAGTTTAAGAAATGAATGACTATTCAAACTGTGCTTCACCAATTGTTTTAAATTCCATGCTTCACTCTCTCTTGCAATGAACAGTATAGGAAGTGAAAAACAAAGGTGTGATTGATGCAGTGGGTGATATTTTAAAAACAGTTGTTCAGTGCATGATCTGAGTCAAAAAGTTGTCACTAGATAATAACACTTGCTCACATGAATAAGCACCTGTCTTTTGATGAAGGTGAAAATGAGTTTCACCATATTTCAATGTTTTCAGATTGACAGATGATGCACACGCCATGGAAGAAAGATCGAGGAAAATCAGAAACTGGGGAATCTAGAGGGAAAGAGGAAAACTGATGAAGGGGGAGCAGTTCCAGGGCATGCATACAGGGGATGCACACATTTTAAGCCAATTCAAGAAGAGTTAGACCTATGGATGTCTTTCCATTCCTGACTCTACTTTTCACAATGGTTTCAACAAAATAATAAGCTGTCTCTAATGCTAGGTTATGTGAACTGGGCACTTTTGTTGCTCTGTGAAAGGCTCTGAAACCACCTCTTGTATTTTGTAACAGTACATACATGTTTATAATTTACTTGTGCTTTCGCTCTTCCTAAGAAGAACGCTTGCTATACCATAGCTAAACTATGGTCTGCATGACCAAGCCCAACAAAGATCAGGATTTAAGCCAAATTAACTGGCATACCCTCAACAATTATACATTATTTTCAGTAACCTTCCAGTAAAACTGGTAAAAATAGGGCTTTAGGACAAAATAATAACAAAAAATCCTTAATGCCAGCTTTGCTAGAACTAAGACTGGATCATAGGATCAGGAGATTTTTCATCTTGACATGATGATTCCTTATGGTATCATGATGCTTCAAGTGGGGATATAGTATATCATTCTTGGACTACCTTTACATTAAAAGTTCCTGACTGAAGTAAAAAAATTTAACTTATTTCATATTGCACTTATTTCATATTATAAAAAAATGCATACCTTTTGCCAGAAACTTAAATATTCTGCAGGTGGAACATGCCTTTAAATATTTTTCATGCAGTCTTTGCATCCAAGGTCTAAAATCACACTATTATTATGACCTCTGAGTTCTGTTAATTGCTTTACCCTATTTTAAAAAAAATAAGGTGCATCTACTCATTCCATGAAGTAACACCAAGCTACAAATAATTTCAGTGAAATTAATCTATTCTCTACTTCACTGAGCATGAGATGAACAATATCTTACAGGGACTGGAACTTCATATCTGGGCAAATGACATCAACCTTGGAGACAGGAATCAAACTATCAATTTCTTCTACCATTGCAAGTCATCAACATGCATAACATCAAATACATCTCTTAGAAACATCCATGCAATTCAGGGCAAGATAAATAATACTTTTGTCTAGTATCTGAACAATCACAAATATCCTTAGAGGATATTGAAATGACTAGAATGATCATATGAGGACACAAGAATGAGTCAGAAATCACAACAAAAAAATCTAGCTACTGAGCACCAGCAATGAAGAGTGGCTTTCAGGATGCTGCATCACAGATCAGGCAGCAAAGCAAGCATTTTCTAGAGATCCAAAACATGTGATATAGGTGCCTTTGCACCAAGAACATCTCCACTCACGGCTGTTTCTTTTCTCTTCAAACTTTCCACTGTGTCTTGAAGAGCTCCAATAGTTTTTTGCTGATTCAAGACCTAGCATAAGAGAAATTAAGAAATATTGAAGGTTAATGTAAGTATGGCTCATTAATGCATACATCACTGAAAGAATATTGAGAACTAAAAATGAAAACCTACCTCAAGCTTGTATGCATTCAATTGGGAACGAAGATGTTCATTCTCTTCTTGAACATCTTGAAACTGCAGCTTCAGTTTTGACTCATCTCCTCCTTCATCTCCCTATGATAAATTATATAGGATGTCAAGAAATCTTATGCTAGAGAATCTATTAATGCCCCATAAATTAGTCAGGAATATGGGTGACATCATCTTTAAGCATGTTATTTTCTAGATTACAGATGTGTGCTTTTTTTTCAAAATGGCCACTTTGAACTGTGACAGCAAGGAACAAAGACAATAATATATTAGACTCATGCATCACATCACAAAGTAAAGGAGACAGGTGTCAACTTTGCTACAGAAAATAGGAGGCAGAGAAGCTGAACTATAGTGAATGGTAAGTAAAAGACAGTTTGAATAGGGGCATGGTAAATGTTCCCAGTGCATTTTTATGAGATGTAAGAAATACCTTCCATGATAACAAGAAAATCATTTTTGTAGTTGCCAATAGCACATGTGCCAGATTCATAATAGAATAGAAAATAGTTTGTTATTTTACTGCCATGTCCATGCTAATTTTCTCTGTGGACTGCTAAAAGAGCTTCTATGGCATCTCATACAGGAGCTTATTTATAGCATTACTTCAGTAGAAAAGCCCTTATTAAATTAGACAACTCTCAGAATGCTGTGATGGTTGACTTGACTTATTCACTGTAAACTTAAAGTGGTTTGCAAATGCTAAAAAGATGAGGCATTTGATAATCATCTCACTTGTTTGACTGATGAATCGCTGATTAAACAAGTCTCGGTCTGAGTTGAACAACTCATAACATCCATGATCGTCACACTCCTCACCTAAATTAAAAGGTGATATCATAAAACCATGCTCAATTTGCACTCAAGTAAGCATACATACCTGAAGCTAATTAAAGAAGAAAATTTTCATATAAGGCTCTCATTTAGTGATTTGAGGATCTAATTTGAATGTTTAAGTCAATGTTCTGCAAAAATGCTATCTAACTTGACACATGAACATTTTGAATAGGTTAAAAATATCCAATCTTTGATTTAAAGGGAAACTTACATGTTCCTCAATGTTCTGTTCAGAAGATAGAAGCTGTTGAAGGGTGTGAACCTCCAGCTCCTTCATAGCTATATGGTGATGAAGCTCACTAATGCTTGACTCCAAGTGAACTATCACTCTACAAAGAAGGAAAACTTTGATTCATAATAAATGTAAGTTGATTCAAATTGAGAACATAAGACTGAGATGCATACGTCTCAAACTGCACAGCAACAACTTACATATGATTTGTAACTCATGCAACCAAGTGCACATTCTATCAACTGCAAAGCCAACAGACTTCACAAAAGAATGAAAGAATAAAAGGTCAGTGATGGGCTAACCACAAACTGTGATTTTTGCAGGACTTATATCAGGATTGAATGGCACTTGAGAAAGATTTGTAGTTGTGTTAATTGAATTCAACTTTTACTGATTCCAATTTGGACTGAATTCATTGACTACTAGCTGGTCACCACCAGCCACATAGGTTACTTCCTTCTTTTATTTCATAAGAGATCCCTGCATTCTATTATTTGGGGGAAAGAAAGGGAGAGAATAGTAAGATGGAAGACAGTACTGTAAGTAGAAAAAAGGTAAGCATTAACACGAAATGCTACAACAAAGTACTGATACTGGATATAAAGGACTTGAGTTACTTTCATAATTAAAAAATAGATTTAAATTAAATTCAAAGGTATTGATAGATGATTTGCAAGGCTGGATTAAGGGGGGGGGGGGCAAAGGGAGCAGTTGCCCTGAGCCCCACTCTTCCAGGGTAATTAAAAACATTAAGCTAAAAAAAAGTGTTGTATTTGTGTAAAGTAGCACGGGGGGGGAGTCCCAGGAATTCACTTGCCCCAGGCCTTGCAACTTCTTAATCCAGCCCTGATTTGAATTCAAAGAGTTGCAATTTGTTTTTAACTGCATTATAGTGAACTTATGGAGCACAATTGTTTCTTCCATGAGTCATTTTCCCTCTTTCTCCCTTTCTTATTGCTAAGTTCTCATGCTATGCTAATAGAACCCTATTTTCCACTTTCTTTCTCTGTGCTCCCCCTCTCACCCTAACATCCAGCCAGGATTGCAGTCAAAGTTTGAGATCTCATAAGTGCCTTGCATCCAGTCATTCTGCAGTTCACAGTAAAGAATGAAGCTTTCAAGGAACTCTCATATTAGATCCAAGAAGCAGTGAAAGACAAAGCAGATTATGGAAATCCAATGGCTCAGTATTGCTCTGAGTCAAGCTTGCCACCAGTTTATTACTACAGTGAAAGGTGCAGGAAGAATAGGAAATCAACTAAGCAGATTTTGATTTAAAGGGAACATGCAAATATGGCATTCTAAACATGGCAGCAAACAAATTTCATCTGGAGAAATAGCTTACATCCACAATCAAGCAGGGAGAAGTAAGTAGCAGTATTTCTGCTAGTAAGTATGCATATTTAAACTCCATACATAAAACTCAACATGCTGACAATATAAAATCCACTTTAGAGACCTGTAATGAGCAGTCTGCTCACCTATCCCTTTGGAGTACTTCCTCTAGTGCCTGATCTCGTTCATGAGTCACACCAGCTAGTTGAGAATGAAGTCTTCTAATTTCATCACTCCATATCTTCATGTCCTCTGAATCCCTTTCATCATGCCGTGATCTGTTCTCAACATCACTCCCATTCCAGCTGTAAAAGAAATTATGAGAAACTTAGCCACAGTTAACAATAGAGTGATGTGAAACCATAATATATTTAGCAGGGTGCTGCAATACATCTATTACAAAGAATGGCTATTAAAACCAAGCCTAGAAATGTCAAAAATGGCGATGAAACATTTGTAGGATCCCCACACTCCCAGATGGGATCCTGTACCATACTGCTACAATAAAGTGGGACAACTTGGAATAAGTGTTCCAAGACTAATGCACTAAAGCTAGGAAAAAGTAGTTTTCCCTTAGTCTTTCCATTAAATGTAAAAATTTTGTGGAGTGATTTTAATTTTCCAAGCAAGGGTGAAGATGATGAAGCATCTGTTGTGCAGTCCAGACATCAGCATATGCCAGTACTACAGTTTCAGTTTGAGATCATGAAGTTCAGGTTACTAATGCACCACCTATCTTCAGCCTGTCTAGAAAAGGCAGGGCAGCTATGCTTTTGTGTAATTGGTTTCATATGCTGATTTAAACAAAAATTAGGAAAATGTTGGACAACTTAGTTTCATCAAGGACTAGCAATAACAAATAATGTACATAAAGAGGTAGGAAGATTATGACATTGCTTTGATCTTTGTCAACAAGTCCTTGACAGCAGGGAGCCAGTAGTCATTCAAGTTATGAAAGAAGGAAAAGGGGATAGAGATTTGTAGCCTGACAAAATACCTTGAAGTCATGGATTCCAAGAGACTTTCATGGCTCTTGATACAAGTGTCTTCTTCACCATCTCCAACATAACCTGAATCACCATTTTCCTTACTACAAGGATCTTCCTTTATTTCACTATCAATTGATTCTGATTCATTTGGCACCTGCAATATAAGATGCTGTTCAACTGCATATCCATTGCCACCATGACAATTTGTTTTCTTGATAAGATCATAAGGCTCACATAAAAGTCATCTGCATTAAAATCATCATCAAAATGTTGAAGAGAAACCATGAGATTCCGAGCTGATTCAGCACAGGGCTGGAGGCGGCTGTTGAGTACTTCAGCATGCTGACGAGTTTCTTGTTCCAGCTGGGTGAATGTTGAAATGAGAGCAGCATTCTGTTCTTCAAGATGAGTGAAACACTGCTCCAAAAATGACACTTTGAGCTGTTAAGAAAGGAGATCTGACATGAACTCTCAATCTTGGAAAAGTGATATATCTACATGAAGGAAAGTGGAGTAGCAATAATTATAAGAAATTGAATTAAATAAACTACAAACTTCTATCTGGCTCCTAGGGTTACAAGGAAAGTTTCCCTTTTGTCTGGAATGAGCAGAGGGTCAGCAACCTTTTGTGAAATTCATGTCCAGGCAAAAAAAAAAAAAAAAAGCAGAACTTAATTCCCTTTTCCTTCTTTGCTTTTCTATTTCTCAGACTGCATATATGCATGCACCCCAGATACATAAAGACTTCTTTCATACAATCTTCTCCATTCATCACCAAGAGAAGAGAGAGGTTATCCTTTATGAGGTGATCAATTTTCACATTCCAAATCAGTCATAACCAAGTCATAAGTGTACAGATGATTGATACTATAAAATACTAAATGTCAAAATTCTAACTTGCATGAGATTCTCTTTCTGAATAATTTATGAAATAATTGCTTTATGCCTGGAGGACTTTGTGACCAGGCAAGGAGTAAATTATAAAAGGAAGAGACATATGGGGATGGGGGAGAGGGGAAGAGAGAAACACACAAAATAATTTTTTTTTTCCCCCTTTGGCACATGCTAATTGGAAACAAATTCTGGTTATCAGCCTGGTTTCAAAATAAGCCCCCATGGCTCATCTGAGGTAATCCTATCCACAGAGACACCTAGCACATCTCCAAGAATGAAACTAACTCAGCTACCTTAGTATACCCACATATATATATAATCAGATGATTCTGGGTTAAGCAGATCAATTTTATCTATCCTTGATTTCAGAATGGCAAAAAAAAAAACTTTTTTAGGGTGCATTGCAGCAAGACAACTAAAAAATTAATATAGCAATTATTTTAGTACTGAGAGAAAATTCAAGGAATGACTCTTTGTATACACTTCACACTTCAGTCAATATGTTCCTTTTTCTATCTCCTTCCTCTGCTTACTTGTATAAACATGAATTCTGAGAGCAGGGATGCAAAAGTAAGTAAGTCTTTCATGAATGAAAGGAAAAAAAAGCATCCCTGCTTCTATATCTAACATCTAGTTGCTAGCCATTTCCCTTTCTTTTCCTTGTTAACTCTTTTGCTGCAGTAGTACACTTTTTTCACACAGCAACTAGTACTCCCTAACCTGTGTTGGCTGAATTATGCCGTGAAAGAGTTAATTTACCCTGACATTACTTCCTCAACAGGATAATGCTCACCTGTTTATTCCAGTCCAACAGGAGATTTTACCATTCAAATGGCCCACATCATACACCTCATGTAAAGCAAATGCTACTTCCCTAAATGCTGACATAAGCAGGCATAACTGAAAGTTTGCTTAATGCAATCAAAGGAAGTGTTTTAGGTCTGTAGGAAACAACTGCTGTTGATATCACTCCAAAAAGATTCACACAGAGATTTGTTTTGCCTACTTTTCAGCTCTTCTTAACACTTTCACTGCTGTTCAAGTCATATGGTGAATTCAATTTGGCAAGTGTCCACCAACTTGCAATGCTTCACAAGGATATTTAAAAACATTCAAATCTCTAGCAGTCAATGACTTAAATATGTCTTCCAGTACAAAGGTTGTTGTGAATGGAATACTGCTGTGCTTGCATCAATATAAAGCATATTACCTGAATTTCTTTGAAAATAGATGCCAGTACACAGACAAAGTCTTTGGCAGTGAAAGTGCTAACAGACAGAATATATTCTGTTACATGGAATAGAAGGAAATAGAATAGAAGGAATGAATATTCAATGGAAATAGAAGGGCACTCATATTGTATTAAAAACATTCAAGAGGATGCAACAGTGATAGAATAAAAGCTAAACATACCTTTGTCAGGTCATCTTCATCAACATCAGAAGTTTCATTCAATTCTTTTAATGATTCCTCACAGCAAGTTGTGAACTTATTAAATAATGTTGAAATATCAGATTCTTCTCCACTTGATAAAATGGGTACTTCTGTCTTAGTGCTGCTCATCTCTACTGCTAGAGACAGAAAACAAGAAGTACTGAAAAAAAATGCATAAGAAACAGGGGAGGAAAGCAATACCAATAAGGTAGACAACCATGGAAATAAATTTTTTCCTTCACTCTCCAATGGCAATTGATAAGAAATGTGTTACATCACATGCGAATTGTAATTCACCCAAGACATGATGCCGGAGAGCACCACATGAATTCCTCACATGAAGGAATCTTGGGGAGATGCTGTAGCATATAGATGTAGATAACATTAGTACACAGCATTGGAGCATTTGAAATGTATAAATAATAGTAATTTAAGGAAAGTAAATGACTAGATATTCTTATTACTTCCCATCATGGCAAATACCTATAAATGCTAAGTTGACAAATAGGGTGCCCAATAGAACTGTCACAGGGTGCCAGAATTGAACTGTCTAAAACTTTTCAATTGGATACTTGGATCATTGAAGTTTCTAACAGTGTTTCTTGAAATCTTAAGTCACACCAAAAGACAGCAGTTGTTATTAGCATTGGTCATGCAACAACTTTTGTCAGTGTGACAAAAGCACTTTGCCTTTGTTGAACAAGAGTTAAGTGCAAATTTCAAAATGTAAATAAGAAAAAACCTCAGGATACGAGAAGCATCAAGCAATAGTTTCAGAAACTGAAAAACACCAAAACATTCCTTATTACAGCATTCCCCAACTGCCTCCAAGGTACATTAATGCTTTGGGACAGGATGCTGAGATTTAATAAAACTTCAGGGTTTAAAGAATACAGTTATATAAAAAACATAGATGTAAGTAACCTTTTGAATATTTTTTTTACCCCTTTTAAATTGGGTACTTTCTATTGGACATCCTGTATGTTCAGATACAGTGTATGACAAAAAAAAAGGCAACTTGTAACCAATGAATCTCTGCTCTCAATGAAGCTATTTTCACAAAACATTCACTGTGCAGAGATAGATGTTTCCTAAACCTTAAATTCAGCTCTACCTGTCCTCCCACTCTTCCTCCCCCAATTACAGTATTATGAAATGACATCCCCACTCAAGCATCACAGTACTAGCTGGTGGATGGTGTCAATGAAACACATAACTTCCCAGTTAACTTCCCAACTTCAGTTTGTATTCCCTTGAATGAGTTCCTTAACTCAACTTTGATGCATCAGTTATATAGCCAAGAAATCAGTGAACTTTAGGTAATTCTTCTTGAAGTTTTGTGTTAGGACTCAGTGATTCTATAATAAAGCAATTCTGTGAAGAAGGTTTGAGATCTCTAATTTTTCTTAATTAACAGATTTTTTAGCACTTGGTACTTCATTATTTTTATGTAGAGGTAAACAATGGCAAACAGGATGCACCATCCTGCATGCTTCCCTTTGTCATTAAAATATATACATTCATCATTTCAGAACATTTCAAAATACTAATAATAACACCTGGAATAGCATAAAATGAAAATAACTTGTAAATATTTTATCATTTCACTGCTGTCAAACTCTCAGACCAGTTTCCCCAATATAAAAGTCAAATTTCATGCTTTTATAGCATAGAACTAATGACCACATGTGCTTTGCTTTTGGCAGCAAGAAGTTTCTCATATAGTTATGAGAATATTGTAACAGAGATCACACCATAGGATTCACAGGATAAGCCTGTAGGTATGAGAAACAGGACACACACTACCAGTAGCCAGTTAAACTTTTTTATTGTAGGATAATAAAAAAAAGCAATAACAAAATAATTATTCTTTGTACAAACATGAGAGATATGGACTTTGTACTCAGGTATGCTTCCAACACTAAATGTAGCTCTATCTCTATCACACTCCATTATCACACTAATCACAACAAAAAGCACTCTGCACACTCTGCTAAAGTTACATCAAAATAACTCACCTCTCCTTCTTTGCAATATTTGCAACATCATTGTCAGCAATGTCAAGGGAGTGTCACACACACATCTCAAATTCTTTCATGAAGTACGAGGCACCTTGCAGTTAACTGATGAAAGTTCCTCACAACCAGTAGGCAGCTCTCCTTCATGTTCACGTTTGGTACTGCTCTGCTCCTAATAGCGAAACATTGGCATCTGGTTAATATTAATTCATTGTGGTCTACATACATTTAGGACAGGTGGTTAGTCCAATCCATACATGATGCCCATTTCAGTAAACAAGTGCTTCAAAATAGCAGTCTATTTTCTAGGAGCAATATAGTTCAGCCACCCATGCACACAGGGTATTCTCTGTAGTGAAGTAAAGTGCACATTCATGCTCACATACAAAATCCATGGGGTCTTACTTTCAAATTGAAGATTTGGCATTTCTAGGAAATATTGGGCACTTCATTAGTTCTTCACTCAATGCCCATCATCTTCACCAGCAGCCTCACAAGAAGTGCATTGGCAGTAAGATCAAGGTTTATATATAGGGTGGCCCACAAAAAAAAATTTACTCCCTAGTAGAGAGACCTAGAATCTGTTGAAGAACAATACATATGAATTCTCTAACCATTTTGGGAAAGTCAGAGAAAAAAATTCAATATTGTCTCCACCACATAAAAGAAAAAGCTCAGACAACCATGCCTAGATAATAATCTGTCAAAAAATCACAAGGAGATAGCATCCCACTCCAGAAAGAGGCTATTTTGCAGTTCCAGCAGATTCTGGAAGCTCAGCTTTCAGTAAAAATGTTTTTATATAGTGTTTTCCAAATAGCATAACCAAGGAGTTTGAATAGAGGCTCTTTAGTGACCACATTTCTAGGTTCATTAAGTCTGGAGTATTCTGATGCCTGGGGCTAAGAAACAACAGTTGCTTGAGACATACAGGATGGGGCACCACATCTCATGTAATGAAATGAATGCAAGATATTGCCTGCGTGTCAGGCAGCAGCTACTCAAAATTATCTGGAATTTACATGGACACCTGGTTCCAAAAACATCAACTGCATTTAGGAATATATTTTCAGTCTCTAGATTCCGTGTTGTGACAAGGTCTCTGTTTACCGACGCCGAACGTTTTGCGTGGACCTGCCTCGTTTCTCTTTTTTATTTGCCGACCCCAAACCGAAGAGGCTTCCCCCCCATCCCCCTTCGTCGGAAGGGCATCGAATTTGGAGTCGCTAGGTGCTCCCAGGGCGAGTCGCGGGTGACCAATTACTTCGACCGAGCGGAGGGGTCATGGCAAAGGCCAGCAGGTATCGCCAAGTGACATGTCCACCGCCTGGTTGCGGAGCTTAATCTCTCCAAGATTCCAACCTTCCTTCCGTTCGCATATCTCTCTCGCTCCTTTCATTACTTGTCTCTTATCGTCATCTTATCGTCACTGACATCCTGCCGCTTTGTCGCGTCGGAATGCCTCATTGATATCCTCAAATTTCGGTGAAACGGCCACGTGGAGCCGCGATCTCGTCGGTGATCGTCTTCGCAAGATGCCAAGTGCTCGAGGAGGGAAAAGCGAAGAAAAGGAGGCGAACCTCTTCCCGGATTCTTCCATATATGAGAAAACGGCTATGATCGGCATGGGAGCGTACGGGACGGTGTTCAAGGCGCGGGATCGGACGAACCCAAGCCAGAACGTGGCATTGAAGAGGGTTCGATGGCCGTCGACGGAGAAAGGGATCCCCCGGTTTGTGATTAGGGAAATTGCTCTTCTCAGGCAACTCGAAGCCTTCCAGCATCCAAACGTCGTCAGGTTGTTGGATATCCGTCAAGAGAGGGGATTGGAGCAAGAGATGCAGATGTATTTGACCCTAGTGTTCGAGTACGTAGAACAGGATCTTTTTCAGTACATGGACAGATGCCCCCCTCCCGGGCTCTCACCCGACCGCATCAAGGACCTAATGTGGCAGACGCTATGCGGAGTGGATTTTTTGCATTCGAATCGAATCATCCATCGAGACCTGAAGCCGCAGAACCTTCTGGTCACGGAGACCGGCCAGTTGAAGCTCGCCGACTTCGGCAAAGCACGCGTCTACGACTTCCATATGATGCTCACGCCCGTCGTGACAACGTTGTGGTACCGCGCCCCCGAGGTACTCCTCAACTCGCCCTATGCCTCGCCCGTGGACATGTGGTCGTGCGGCTGCATCTTTGCCGAGCTCTTCCGTCGTAAACCTCTCTTCCCTGGCCAGTCTGAAGTCGACCAGCTCTCCAAGATATTCAGGGTACTGGGGAAGCCTCGTGAGGAAGACTGGCCGCGGGATGTGTATTTTCCGTGGAGTTCTTTCCCTTCTCCGGTCTCTCCTCCCACTCCGCTCTCCGACCTCGTCCCTGAGATCGACCCTCAGGGACTCTCACTCCTTCAGAGGATGTTGAAGTTTGTACCCGAGCAGCGCGGGTCGGCTGCCGAGGCTCTAGTCCAACCGTACTTCAGGGACGACGGCTACGTCCCCTTCAAGCTCACTACCTGCGGTTCCGGTCAGCGATCCTCCTCCCTCCCCTGCAGGAACGACGGAGAGGAGCAGCGACCGTGTCCAGGGATCGTGAACCCTTTTCCCGACGATCGCAGCAGGAGAAATCTGATTCCTGATTTGACAAAACTTGTGATCCAGGATTTTCCTCCCCTCCCTTCCCCCTCTCCCTCCAACTTTTCGCCTCCCCCACCCTCCTCACCCTTTTCATCCTTTATAAAGCGAGCAAAGAGACAAATGCAAATATTGCAAAGAAAATCCTGCGTCATTATTTAAAAAAACAAACAAATGTGATAACTTCACTTTTCACTCTTTCGAGAATCCCTTGTCATTTTCCTACCCAATTGCTGTTCCCATAAGTTATTTGGATTTTGTTGCTGCGTGGAGAGATTCGTTCTGTCTTGTTTCATGAGTCTAGGAATTTCTGTTCCAAATAAATCGATAAGAACCCTGCATGATAAAAAAAAACCACTGCATTTAGGAATCATTGAATGGGATTTGGGTGAATTTAGAATATTACTAATTCATTGTGTTGTCTGTCAGTCTGTTCATGTTCTATTAGGCAGGTGCCTCTTCCTGTACATTTCATTCAACAGTTACTCCCAAAACAGAGCACACCAGACTTCATGGACCCAGAAATGTGACCACCACAAACCTCTTGTGATTATGATGAAGCTTGGGGAGTATATCAGGACAAAGCTTACAAGAAGAGCAGCATCTAGTTCCAGATCTTTGCTAAATCTCCAGGATCTTTGAGCATGGGTGGGATCCTAATTCCCAATTACTTTCAGGAAACATAAATATTGCTATACCAGAGGGGGCAGAGAATGCATTTGGAGATTAAGCATTTTTGGTCATGCAAAGTAAATGTAGGACCAACATGAAAATTTATGAGAAGGGCTTCAAACTTGCACTAAAAAAAGCTTCTTTGTGCCAATTTGTACTAATGAAGAATCAATTGAGAGTGCAAAAGCAATATTTGTGGAATAGATATAAGGAGTCCAGACACAATAAAAACCAAGATGAATTCTTACTGCACTAGAAGGATAATGAACTCACTTGTCTCACGTCAGGGAATAGTCTTCGCTTATGTTTCTTTGGGTGTGGTTTCATGCAAGCGAGATCTTTTTCAGTTGTACTCATTTTTTCCCATTGATATGTGCCTTCTAGAGGCTTTTCATGATGAAAGTCAAAATTCCATCTCTCAGATGCCTTGAGCACTTCTTGGTTGAGAACTTCAGCATCTGCTGTTTCACTATTGAGCAACTCAAAACCAGGATCACTTGAGTCTTCAGCACTGCCAGGGTGATCCCCATCATTTTTTGCACAAGATTCAAAGTCTTTGGCAAGATTTCGTTTGGCCATGCATGCTTTGCGAGAATGTCCTCCACGGCTGAGTGGAGTGTTGTCATCCCGGATAAACACTTTGGATTTCATTTTGGAATCTTCTGGAGTGCACTCCTCCTCAAGTGAAGATCCTTCCATCTATAAATATAACAAGCACTCTTTACAAATGATATATCACATGAAGACATCAGGGGGGGGGGGGGGGAATGGGAGTTCAACTTCGAATTTCATTTAGTCACTAAAGTTGAACTTTGCTTAGCTAAAAGGACATCTCTTGTCCAAGAGTTGACTTGCTCTCCATGTAATTTTCTTGTTGCACTGCACATACTTCACACTGGTTGCAAGCTACTAATTGCCTGCACTCAATTTGAAGTCCAATATTGACATCCTTGATATTGTTCCATAAAGGGTGTCCATTACATCAGTGGACTCAAAATCACCCATAGCTATTGAAACAGATGGAAATTGCAACAATATCTAATTCAAAAGCTTTCAATAGACCCCCCCCCCCCCCCCCCCACAAAAAAAGACCTTTGAGGTTTGGATGAACAAGGTCAGATTAGGCCTATGCAAGAAAACTCACAGGAAATAGAGTGACAGGGAGCTTAAGCTTTACAGTTGTATACTCTTATGAATGCCTGTGTTTGATAGTTGCACTGGCTTTGCTGCTGGAAAATAGGTCATCGTGCTGATGGTAGATGTCCATGCTAGCTACAAATAGTTGATTTAACTCATAGATACTCATAATTGCTTCAAGAAACCAAAAGGCATGATGAAGTTACACAGAAAAGGTAGGACAAATCCTAAAGTTTGGTTGAATGTTAACTCACTACCTACCTTGTCACTGAAAGGTAAAATCAAGTATGGTGCATGGTTTCCCATGTGCCATGTGACGATGTGCCTTTTAGGCTAGGAGAAAATACTGTAGCTCCCTCTATCAAGAATTGATATTAATTGGCTTCTATGTAGTTCCCTCTTATCACTTATTCCTTGACTTCTTTATCAGTGTTTACTCAAAACCAGCTTTGTCACCCAGAAGTAATATAGAGTATGACATAGTTTCCCATGAGTCATGTGAAAGCATGCCCTTTAGACTAATGGTAAATATTGGTATTCCCTCTATCAAGAGAGAATACTATCTTTGGTTCCCATGCATTTCTCTCTTACCACTAATTCCTCAACTTCATCATCACAGTGTTTCCAAGATGATCGTAGCAGGAATTAAATACATTTTTTGGTCTAGCTAGAGCTCCGGTTACTAATTTAAAAAATTGGCTATTTGGTATTGACCCTGGTGCTAGGATGAAAGATTCTGAAAGTATAGGAACTTTTGTGCATTTCTTATCATACCACCTAGCGAAATTCCAATTCTCAGCAAAATTACTTTACATGTATCTATGAATTTGAAAATATTCCCACTGGAACAACATCCACTCCAAGATAAACTATCCAAATAAATCAAAACACAGAAAAAAAGATCACCCAGATTTCTACATGAACCATTGGTTCAAACTCTGGTTTGAACTATTCATGGTCTAAAAGTAAGAGAGTACAAGTGTCCCTTTCTAAAACTACTACTGACTAATCTGCTGTAATGTTGCTGGTGGGTTATTGGTATTTACTTTGCCAAAAGCATTCTGTCATTTCTCAGTTTATAACTGCCAATTCTTCCTTCCTTTTCTCTGGAGAGAAACAATATCTGCCTCTCAAGCATGACCTCTGCAACCTTACTTGCAATACTGGAGACCAACCAATCTTTCCTCAGAACAAGAACCTGTCATGTCTCAAACCTTAATACCACAACAAAAGGTGTAAACAATGACACCATGTTTCATGATGAAACTGGTGAACTTATTTTAGTCTGATGCAGTTGGAAAAGTCATGATACTTACTATAGTGGCCTATCTTATGGTAGACCTACTGGTTAGGTTACTCTGAATAAGTCCAGTGCTTAATTTGACCTGGAGTTCAGCACCTCCATCTTGATGTCATGCATTTTCACACTTACTATTACTATTTTACACTTGACTTCAAAGTATTTGACAAGAAAGTAGCAACGCTGTTGCATGTAGCCAAAAACCAATATTTAATTCAAAATATTGCACACAAAAAAAGTTACCACGTGGCTTGTCGCAAATTAAGCCTAGCAAGGCGAGACCCACAACCAACGCTATGAAAATGCCACAAAGCAACAGGCAGGAGCCATGTTCTAAAGACCTCAGCGCCTCTATCGTGAACCACCGATACTAGGAGGGCCAAACTCTGCTTCTTGCCGACCAGATGCGCATTTTGGGTATGGAGTTCCGCTGATCATCAGCGTCGGGATGCACACTCAGGAGTATTTTTCTTTCTGTGCCCCCCACCCTCGGGGTAGAGGGGAATGGAGAAATAGAGAGATTTTGGTCTACATAAAGGATTTGGATCTCGGCGTAGAGTGTAAGATAAGTAAATTTGCCGACAACGCCAAGATAGGTTTTACCATAAAGGGGAGAGGCGGATAGGGCTAGAGCTGAGCGAGATTTAAGTCTTTTGGACGAGTGGAGCAAGAAATGGTTCATGAGGTTTAATAAAAGTAAGTGTAAAGTTCTCCACGCCGGTCGAAACAACGGAAGGTCTCTCGACACGTTCGGTGTTGTTAAATTGGATGAGGCAAACGGAGAGAGAGATTTAGGAGTTTCGATCGACGAGGACCTCAAGTTTTCCTCGCAAGCCAATTGCAACCGGATTCTAGGTTACATTCGTCAGTCGGTTGCAAGTAGGACTTCATGCGTCATTCTTCCGTTGTATGCGGCGCTGATAAGACCCCTGTTGGAATATTGCATCCAGTTTTGAGAGGCCTACAAATAAGGGCGATTTGTTGGCGCTCGAGGGTATTAAAGGAATAGATAATGTCGAGTGTGGCAGGTTTTTCCAGTTTGATGGTAGCAAGAGAACGAGAGGTAACCAACTTAAGCTGCGCAAATCGCAAATTGTTGTTGCGCAAACCCTAAAATTAAGGAACGCTCGATCTCGACACGTAATATCGAAATGGGTGAAATCGCCTCTTGATATCGCTAGCTATCTTGAATCTTGATACAATCGCAGTAGCGTAGGCAGGAAATCGGTAGGGGGGGGGGGGGGGTTGAGGCCAGGTAGACACCCAGACCCTATGCCTAGCTCCACTACCCGGAATTTACATTTTTCAAAGAAATGATCCCTTGCATCTTGGGTCTGTGTACAGACATCAGGCTTTCCTCAAAAAAAGCTAAAATTCCCAAGGAAGGTTGAAATATGCCTATCAGTGACACTGACTGGAAAGCCCAAGGGGGGTGTCCTAACCCCTTTACCCCCCCCCCCCCCCCCCCTTCCCTACACCACTGTATAACATGAGCAGGGGTTGAAAGGGGGGGGGTCCAGACCCCCTTGGTTGCGCCACTGATTCTTGAGCTTTCCAGGGTGAATTCCTCCCTGCATAAATTGTTTATGCCTACGCCAGTACCCCAGAAGAATCGCTTATGCTTGTTTACAAGCACTAACTTGAGTATAAATCATCAAGCACTAAAAATAGAGGACCTTATTAGTGCAGACCAGAACATTGGAGCTCGACGCACATGTCCCCAAAGCAGCTAATTTGTCGCATTCCGTTCTGCAAAATTTGCTCCAATCGGCCTGTACCTCTCGAATAAATTTCTCGATTGCATTTTCTCCGGATTTGCAACAGACGACGCCTGGCGACGTCGGGGAGAGCAGCAGAAAGTTGATGAATTCCGAGTCTTTTTTTTTCCGTGCGGGAACTCCAGCTGTGAATGCGTGGGTGGGAATCAACAGGGGGAAGAAAAGAGAAAAACTGGACGATCAAAGGGAGGGGAAGAGTTCAAAGGGTATGCCCGGAATCGGACGGTGAGGTGAAGGATTCCACTTGATCGAATGGAATAATTTCTAAGCTGAATTTTTTTGCTGTTGCATGACATATATGGTGGACCCAATCACAGCTAAGCAAAGGCGCTGGCATCTAAAAAATATTGGGAGGAGGGGGAGGGGGGCAACATCCTAATGCCATTTGCATGACATGGATTGTATCATTTAGATTTATGGTGGCTAAGTGGCGAGCAGTGGGAAGGGGGTAAGAGGGGGGTTCCACGAGAATTTCGGTTTTCATTGGGTTATAGCAGAGAAGTGAAACATCCGGTCCGCCATCTGTTCTTGAAATTTCCAGTTTGAGGTTAGGTTCGTGCACCCACAGCGCACGAATCTAACCTCGTGTAGTTGAAGGCGTCCTCCTCCTTCACCGTCGGCTATTTGTACGATGGCGTCCCCCGGTTGACCCAGGCTAGCACTGCCAGCATTCGAACCGGCAACTTGCAGCAGCCGGTTCGATCGGCTCGCCTGAAGCGGCGTTCGGGCGAGCCGCGAAGACAGGAGCGCGATCTCGGACGACACAGCTGCTGTCGCTGCTGCCGTCGCAGATGCAGTGCGAATCGATGCATGCACGAGGGTTTTATGAGTCACCAGCTATTTTTTTTTTAGCGTCACGTGGCTAGGTGCGTTCTGTTGCCCGTGTGCCATCAAGTGACTCTCGAGTTTTCTTACCAAGGCTACAACAGATATATATTATCTAAAGATAAAATCGAATTTTGTTCCCACGTCTGAGGGCCTGTTTAACGCATTTTTACGCGTCCAAAGATGTAAAAGCGGGTGGATGTTGACAACTGCCATACTGCCAACTGCCGACCGATTTGAGTATGGCACCCCTTTATTTTTACTTCTGATGAGAAATTTAAGCCTTACATTTCTCGGCTCACGTATGGCTTGCATTCAGTGGCGTAGCGAGGGGGGGCTTCAGCCCCCCCAAGTTTGGTTCAAGTCCCCCCAACTCTGGTCGTCCACCAACCCCCCTCTCGACGAGGAGAAGTAAGCCCCCTAAGCTCCGCTTAGCCCCCCCATTGACGAAAACCTGACTACGCCACTGCTTACATTTCTTGTCAAAAGTCTTCCATCCCCTAACTTAATCAGACGAGACGGTGAAGTGGTGAATATTTTCTTGTTTTCGTGTAAACAGGACACCCTGCTCACTAATGCAACATAAAATCACCTTGTCTTTCAATTACTTCAGAACGCGAGTAAAATCACACTCCTCCCTTATCTCCCGTCTGACTGCCGATACCAGGGACCGATAACATCTGAGTTTTCATTCTGCCACTCCCATAGGAACAATGGGGAAAAGGCAGATATTGCGATCGGTCTCTCCCTTTTTCTTTTCACTCGGTCTGTCCGCAGCATCCAAATCAACTGGACAACTCGACCCAGAAAGCATGCGCAGCTCTCCGCCCGAGTCCCAGTCTGCGACTGAAGGCCGAAGCACGCCGACCGCGAAGTTCGCAGTCATTTCTTGACTGCGACCGCCTGCGAAGCATCTCCCACACTGGTCGCAGAGCTCCCAAGCCAAATCAAATATACCTGTGTACAATTTGAGAGCTCGTGCTGCAACACATTTTTTGCAGGTACGGTAGGTTGTTACGCCCTGTTGACAGATCCCGTCATCAGATGGGAGAATTCGAGACTCTAGTGGAAAATATCATCGCCGAAGACATAGAGTGTTTTTCTCCTATGTCCGTGAGAATGTCTCTTGAGCTGTTTCTTCCCTTCTCGAAGACCCTTCTCGATCTGCTGGAAGAGAGGGCAGGACACAAACTCGAGACCATAAAATTCCCCGCGCAAAGTGGTGGCAGTGTCATTGAGTTGGGTAAATGCATACTGCCATACAAATATTCTGAATATCTCAAATACGTACAGATCATGCAGCACTTTCTTGAAGGAGGAGACGACTTAGTTTTTGCACTCGAAGAACAAGAGCTTCTCAACTTAAAAAGAAAATTAAAGTTAGAATTCATGAATTGAAGAAATGGAAGATCAACGGGAATATAATTGACATCGAGACCTTTCTTGAAGATTTATTTACTGTTGCTATGTATCCCGTTCATGGAGAATCAAAGGTGATGATCAGCATCATCTACCGCCGATGTCATTCCACCAAAAGAGCTGCCAAACTAAGCACTCAAGGATTTCATAACTCGCAGTTAATAGCTACGCAGCACGAACCGCTGCTCGGATGCGACAGAAATGAATCGTCCGACTCCATTGCGACCGCAACCGACTGCGAAGGTCCCACGCCTCTCCAATGCGACCGATCGCGACGAGCTGCGACGGTCGCAGAGGTCGCAACGCAGCTCTCCGCAGCCAGCGTGCACGGCCCCCTAAGACTTCCCCTTCCAGCCCTCGCGGACAGAAGACGATGGGGGAGGGGCCGCGTTGACAGGGTTGCCTGTGCGCACGCGTGAAATGCCACATCTGGCATCCTACGCTTCAAAGCCTACTCTCTCCACGCGACCCGGACGCGCGAACCTTCGAGAACATTTAGTTGTCCGGGTCGCGGAAAAGCGTAGTATTCATCACGCAGCTCGCTTCAATCCCCGACGAGAGACATTTCCCGAAAAGAGATTTAGCCATAAAGCCTCGCCTAAGAATGCGATCAAGAAGACCGGTCAGCGGCAGTATCGACGATCCGTGTTGGAGGATCGGGGTGAATCAGACTTAGGCTACATCAGAGCAAAGCTAGGCTTCCGCATCGACGGAGTGAAGGCGCTTCTTCAGGAGTCAGGAGTCAGGAGAGTTAGTGATATCAAGAGGCGATTTCGCCCATTTCGATATCACGTGTCGAGGTCGAGCGTTCCTTAATTTTAGGGTAGGCCTAACCCTCTTAAAGCTATATATTTTTGTATTTTTTTTTTTTTTTTT